GACAAACGAGTTGGCAGAAATCGGGGGTCGTGGGGTTGTCCTTGGCATTGGGTCTTCTTGCGGGCGCTGGTTATGTCACGGTAACGCTGTGCTTTGGCCACCTCGGCGATGCCGCAGTTCACGGTTGAACTCTGGGTATATGGCATCGGGATGCAGGGTAGCAGGGTAATTAAGGTAAAAAATGCTGTCGTCGAGCTGGAGAGACATCGTTGAATTAGGTGTCAATTGTCTAAGAGGTGGTAGAGAGCTGGCCGTTCTATCTTTGGATGATGCTCGTGTCTTGGCCAGAGATTGTGCATGGCCAAGACGGATGGCTGTTCCAGGGTAAGGGGAGTGACCTCGCTGTCACATCTTGTGCCCAGCACGCCGAGGTTTTAGCAGAACAATGGAATTGTTCTTTTGGGGAGGTACAATTGATTGGCCATGAATTTTAATTCATTGTCGAATGCGTCTTCTGGACCCGACACGCATCCTCCAAGCATAATCAATCTGGTTATACTCAACTTTGATGCCGCTGGAAATAGTCCCTTCGAAGTCTCTTGGAAGAAAATTAAACCTTTGCAATACCTCAACGAGATGTATCAAGCAACATGTTGACAATGGCTGTGAGGCCGGCTTGTCAAAGTTGGAATATGCGCGGTTAGATAGAAACAGCTATCAGAACATCAGACAATTGATATCCGCAACTATTTGATCGACGCAGCGTCCAGTAGGACCCGAGACTTTAGCTTCATAACCAAAACCAGATGTTCAAAGACCCTGATAAGACCACCCTCAAATACCCTGAATCTGTCAAAATATTGTATTCCTACGACGTAGGATCGCCATTTTGAAAATCTGAGCTGCCTCTCGAGGGCACGAGTAACTTGCGCTGTCATTTCCAGTAGAGACTCATCATAGAGCAAGTATCGTGATGTTTTCAAGGCCATGGCAACCTCAAAGGATCGAACTATCATTAGACATCTGATAGATATATTCTACAGTTGTACATAGTTCTATTTGTTGCAAGTTTCCGCGACGTGGCTTGAGATGAGTTGGCGAGCCACGCACACGCCTACACAATGCTCTAGTAACCATCACACAGTCGAAAGAGTTTGCGACGTATTTTAGAGATACGCAATTCTTTTAGGGAGTATTTCTATGATATTTCTGTCTGGTGTTTTAGAGTTGGATGCCGGAGAAAATCAGATATCAATACCATTCACCACCAGTCGTGCTCCCCGTGCTTCAATAGTGGTCGATTTTGCCGTACAAGTTACCAGTAAGTCCGGGCTAACTCAGCGTTTAAATACTCCGTTGTGATGCCTTGGAACTTGGGATAAGTCACAGTTCGAGAACTGAATTCTATGACACTGTCATAAACTATGATGCTGCCAGTACTCAACTCGTAGATTTTGGCCAATCAATGCAATGCAACTCTTGACCCCGATTTAATCAAGAACAGAATCTCGAAAGGATAGGCAGACATTTTGACAGCATGGTATGTTGTATATCTTGTTGGAAACAGATGATAGTGAGTGTTTGACACGTGGGCGTCATGCAACGTGGAAATGATCGTATCAGAATGAGTTCCAGTCCACTGGGTTGGTCTAGGCTTGCTGCAGAACGCCACTGGGACGTGAACCGCCCTCTAATGACATGAGGTATCTCAGCCTCCTATGCAACACCTGATGGCAGACATGGCAGGGGATGCAAGACATCGGAACCCCGCGCCGATGAGATACGGAATGCCTCGTGATAGTCGACCTTATCATACTTTAAAGTCTCGCCGAGTCGAAGTGATGATAAGAAAAGGATTGCCTTTTTATATCAAGAAAGTTGATAACACTTGCCTAAACACAGTCGAGTTATCTTGTTTATCAGATACTGAATCGAAGACGTTGCGTACCGTTATGAAATTGCCTCACGGCAGTAGACGCCAACTAACTGTCGCCGTTTTCCCCGATTCACCCCTCGCGGTACCCTTCCTCATTCACGTCAAAAGTGGCTTATCGCCCAACTTACTGATACCATGCCTAGCTCGGCCCAGCTTCTCCTCACCATCGGCAGATAACCACGATAAGATCAAGATATGAGGCAGCGATTTCATCATCGGGAGCACATCCGTAGCGCCACGGAGAGACTAAACTCAACTGTTATCACACAGAATGCGCTCTAGCCAATGGTTGCCAACCTCACCACGAGTCTCGACTGATAGACGCTCGAATGCTAGCTCGTTCTGGTCTAGTCGAAGCTGGGGTAGAATCCGGGGTAACTTTAAGCACTCAGTGGGTGTCGTAAATGCCTGATAGCGTTTGATAGCCTGTTTTTCTTTCATCCTCCTCCCTTGATGCTTGATATAGAGATAGCCCTCGCGGATACTTTCCCGTAGAATCCAATCACGATACGATCGTCATTCTCGTCAATTTCCCCAGACTTTTCGCCCCCTAGCTCTATGAGACAGGTCCATCACGTCCGAGGAAAACAGTATAAAGACTTAAGATCGCCGCCGTGCAGAAAAGATGGATCCCAGCAAGCTCCCACTCCAGGGTCTCATCTCCATACAACAGCTTACCTAAACTTGAATTCCTTTGTGGATATCCTTCATCATGCGTCGAGAAAGTATTCACGATGTCAATATTCCAGCTGGGATGACGGAAAAGTCCCGCAGCTCGATGACGAAAGACGATGGTCTTGACCTCGCAGCTTCACGAAGCATTGACGAAGTCCAGGCTATTGAAATGCAAGAGGGCAAGCATGGGCAATTCCATCGATCCTTTACACCACGACAAGTTCATGTAAGTCCAATAAACCAAATTCCCTCACAATACTAACATGAGCTTTTCAAGATCATTGCTCTAGGTTCCAATATCGGCTCGGGCGTCTTCATCGCTACTGGAAAAGCCCTCGCGACTGGCGGTCCAGGAAACATGGTGATTGCATATTTCATGGTGTGCACCTGTGTTTGGGCTGTTCTGCAATCGTTGTCAGAAATGACAATTGCGTTCCCTGTTTCAGGAAACTATATCGACTATGCTGATCGTTGGGTTGATCCCGCTCTGGCTTTTGGAGCAGGTTTCGCCGAGTGGCTTGGTTGGTACCCCTGAACTTGATTTTAAGCCATGTGTTCTGACTGTTGATAGGTTGGACTGCTATTGTCTCTGCTGAGGCCGGTTTCTTCCACATCTTGGTAGGATATTGGTCTGGAGGCTCGTTTCCTTTGGCCGCATCGCGTAAGTTTCACTTATATGCCCCCTCTTGAATCTAACTAATGAGTCTTGTAGTCAGCATCTTCATGTTCGCCTGTCTCGTCATCTTTCTCCTCCCGAACACCGTATTCGCCTGGTTTGAATATGTAACATCTCTGATCAAGATTTTCCTCTTCTTGATTATCATTACTCTCTCCTTGGCTTTGGTTCTTGGAGCTGGTCCTAACGGTTATGTTCATCACGGAGAGACATGGACTGACCTACCAGCATTCTTGAACGGCTTCTCTGTAAGTTTTGAGATTCACCCCTTTGAATTTTCTCCTACTAACAACTTCGCAGGGATTCGCCAACTGTGCACTCCTCGCTACCTGGGCCGTCGGTGACCAAGTCTTCATCGGCATCATGGGCGGTGAAGCTGAGAGCCCACGCTTCTCCCTCGCTCACGCCACCAAGCTCGTCCCCTTCCGAGTCAACTTCATCTACATGCTCAGCGTCGTCTTCATCACGATTCTCGTTCCTTCCAACGACCCCCGTCTTCTCGGTGGAGGTGGTGTTGCTGCTTCACCCTTTGTCGTTGCTGTCACAGACTCTGGAATTCCCGGCATCTCGTCGCTCCTGAACGCTGGAATGATCTGCGGTGTCCTCGCCATCGCAGCTGAGTCAGTCTATCTCTCATCTCGAGTCCTGCGAACTATGGCCCACCAGGGTCTCATCTCTACCCGCCTCGCACATGTCGATGATAAGGGACGTCCCAGACTTGCTTTGATCATCACCTCTGTTGTTGCTGTTGTTCTCGGATACATTCAGCTTTCTGGTGAGTGTCCCCTCGCAGTCCAAGAATCACGACTAACATTGTTGCAGCTGGCGGTCTTACTGTCTTGAACTGGCTGATCTCCATTACAAGCGCCTCCTTCTTCACAAACTGGATCATCATCTCATTCACTAACTACCGATTTCACTGTGCTCTGAAGGCCCAGAACGACAAACTCTTCTCAGAGACTTATGCTTGGAGATCCAGTGCTTGGCCCATTGCGCCAGCTTGGTTGATGCTTATCTCCGTCATGTTGTTGGTCTGCTGTATCTATTCCGGAATCAAGCCTGTTGTAAGTTACCTCAACAATCCTCAAGCTATACGAGGATTTATCTAACGAATCAATCACAGGGTGGCGCTGGCTTTTCTGCCTCCAACTTCTTCCAATATATGATTGGTGTTCTCGTCATCTTTGGTTTCACTGCCGGATACAAGGTTATCTTCCGAACTCCCTGGAGAGATCCTGCCACCGCAGACTGTCTCACCGGCCGACGACACTTGAGCGTCGAGGAGATCAAGCATCTCGACGAGTACTATGCTAAGCCCAAGTGGAGGCGCTTCCTCACCTATGTCCAACTGTGGTAACCGCCACGTCTTGAAAGTTGTATGACGGTGTCGGGGTTTTCGGGTCCGGACGTATTCTATAGACATCGGAAACTACTCACAGCATACTATCAAAGTTTTCTCGCACTGGCCTCACCTACATACAACCTCCGTCTTCAGCGATGTGCTCGTGATTCATGTATGAAAGAAGGAAACCATTCCACTATTAAAGCTACAGTGGGTAGTTCGAAAAAGCTACAGCTATGACTTGACTCACGATTTTAGAAGCTTATTTCGTTCAGTGACTGACCAGAAATGAAGATGACGGAAGGATAATCTTCGATGTCAACTTTGCACTTCAGGGATAGACGAGAACTGAACATGCTGCCCAGCGATGCAAGAAGTCAAACAATGAACCCCAATTATACGGATTGTATTAAAGTTGCCCTTTTCGATACTCATACATCGTCCACATCTTCAGCCATAGGATCCTCCGGCCACGGCCATGTTAAGCTATCGATATCCAGCGAATTAGCAATGTTCAACAGCTGTTCCGCACTAAGTTCATAGTTTAGCCCTAATCCAAAGTCATCATCCGGCTCGATACTAAACGGCTCGGCATAATCGGTGACAGAGCCTGTGTCACTGTCTATGTCATTCATAAAGCCCTGCCGAGGCGTGTTTGGACCCTGTGTCGCAACCACAGGTCTCGAGTCATTGCTGGCGAGGAAGCCTTTGAGTAAGTCTTCCAGCTGCTTCAGTTCAGCTGCAACCATGTTAGCTACGAGATTGCCTCTCGAGTTCATCTCGTCGAAGAGACCGTAGGCGCGTTGCGTCCAGGGAGTGTGGTCTGGTAGTAGCGATGAGTCAATCGCAGCGGCCATGAGCAGTGCAATTGTAGCGGTAAAAGCGGCGTCCTGATCGAATCTCAGGAATGTTTCTATATGAGCATCAGTAACACGCCCAAATAAATGCTGGGGCCAGAGAACTTACCTAAGAGCCCTTGCTCAGAAAGACTGGAGAGGATCCTCAAAATCTGCTGAGCAGACTCGGTGCACATTTGGACTAGCCCTTTCACACTCTCTGATTGTAGCCAATGCATCAAAGCTACCTCCAAGTGACCAAGCCTGGAAAGCAGGAACGTGTATAGAAGTGGCCTTGTAGTGAGAATGATGCACTTGTTCCATTAGAAAGCTGACAGTCAGAGGGAGACGGACGAGCTTACTTGGTGTTGCATCAAATGGAGATGTGCTGATATTCGTGATATTCCAGCCATCCCCTCACTTGCCTGAATCTCAAAAGACTTGTTCAATCTTTCTGTCACGGTAGCGATACTCTTGAGAACGGACTGGGTAGCACCGAGGTATCGACTGTCGAGCTTTCCTTCAAGGCCATAAACAGCTGCGATCGTTAGTAACCATGTCTCTGTGGCACAAGAATACGCACTCTGATTTATCTTTGCAAGAACCCTGCAGAAGTCAACATGTATATTCAGTGCCTCTAACTTTTGCGGCTGGCCTGGAAAGTCGGGAAAGCGTGCGCTTATCGTCTCGTCGGCTATACTCAACGGAAGTCCCAGAAGCGAAATCAGCTGGCGTTCGAGGATATAGAGTGTCCAGAACATGTGTCGGCTTCTCTGTACGTAAGCTGCGTCAAGAGAATCAGATTGCATCTCAGTGTGTATACCGTGTTCTAGACCATGACGAAGTGCGGAGCAAACCTGATGCCGTTAGTTACTATGCATATGTAAAGAGCCAATTGCTTACCAGACGATATGCCTGTTGTATGTGATCCACAGATTGAAGATATAGAGCAGCGCAGCAAAGAACCTGCATCTCCTCTATTATATCACAATCAAAGAAGTTGAAGTCGGGCATGAGCTTCATGGCTTGTATGAAGAAGTCACCACCAGGAGGTCGTCTTGACTTGGTTGACTGAACCACGAAGGCCTTCCCAAAAGCCAGGACAAGAAGGTAGTGAACGAACCACAAAGGTTCTGCACGCGCATATTCCGTAGGGTTCTCATGGAACCGACGGAAGCGTTCCATGAAGATGTCCTCGTCGAATAGGCTGTAAAGCCAACCGCAGTGGAACTTGACCGAGTTGATGAGATATAAAGCAAAGTCTTTAGTTGGCAGCGCAGATGTGTCGGGAACATCCTGCGATGTAAACTTTCTAGTCCCGTCCCATTTCAGATCAAAGACCTTTCCCTCAGTGCCGGCGAAGTGCAAGTTGTGCATTGATAATGGACGGCCCTTGACACGTTCGTGTGTCATGGTCAAGACTCGCTTGTTGAAGGACCAATTTGATGATGTTCCCATGAAAACTGACGATAAGTCAATACTCAATTCGAGATACCGGCTCTTTGGGCAAGTGAGTATGGACTTACGGATGTGCCCTGTGACGCTTGGAACAAAGTCATAAGTGTGGAAGGCTAAAGGATTCGTGAGGGGAGCTTTGCCTTCACCATTGAGCTGTCGTTGATCTTGTGCCTCACCGGTTCCGTATGGTGATATTGACGCTGAAGTCTTGATTGCTTGTTCTGGGATCTCGTTGTTCTCGGTGGAAAGTGGTATACGACCGCCTGGTACTCTTAGTAGAAGGCCGATCGGAGACCAACAAAGACTTACTCAGATCGGTGCTCCTCGACCGGCCAGTCGTAGCTTCAATGAGGGAGCGTTCTTCTGACTTGCTCTCCAAGGCCGCCAACCTCTCTTGGAGACGGTTGATATACCTGGAAGAGGTGTGTAAGTATGACTCTATCAACAGTTCTTGGCATCGACGAACCCTCTCGAAACGACAACTTTACGTGATTCATCATCGAATTGACACACTGACCCCCTCTTATCACACTGCTGACATGGCTGCGATCCAGAACATCTAATCTTCTGATCTCGACACCTTACACAACTGATAATCTCCCAAGTCAGTTGTTGAACCCATTTCGTCAAGATAAGAACATACGCTTTGGGAACACGCTTCCTTGCATTATTTGGTCTGGTAGCATTAGCTCTTGTAGACGATGACATCACCCTTAGGATTGAAACACAAAAGAGGCACAGAAATGGTTAATGGCAATGATATTGATGTATGAACAAAACAATGGCATCCTTGTGACTCTCCATACTTGACGGGTAGGTTTCCGCAGAGAGAGCGGGGTAGGGATTGATAGGAACTCAGAGCCGACAGGTAGGAATGGAAGTATTCTAGAACGTGTGGGTATTGCTAGACGATTGGTCTTGCGGAGTTGATCGTCTACTGTTCCTGATTGCGTTAGGTAAATCGTTGATGTTAATTCAAAGTCCGACTATTGCCTGTAATACAAAAATGGTCACGAAGCAGATCGATTCTATTGACATGGCGACCTGTGATTCAAGGCAGGGATTGAAGCTGGTCTCTAGTGTTACGAAAGCCGAATGATACAACGTTGCAAAAGGCATATGGTACCTCAGTGTTGCGAATTGATGTTTAAAATAGTCTATCATAAGCTTGTCATGATAGAAGCACATTGACACATACTGTCTTCAACCATAACGATACCCACGATTACTCCCTTTGGCCTCACCTAAGACACCACTCAGCAAGAAATAATTATTTTAGACCACAAGACACGAAGTTACTAGGCATTCTCAAGTTCATTCCTGATTCTTCCGACGAGCTGCTTTGGGATGGACCAGGCTAACGAGCGGCTGAAGGCTGAAGCTTATGGGCTAAGTTGGTGGCTTGCAGGCTGAGCTTCTGCATGTGTGACAAACAAGATCTTTACGGAAGAAAGATCCCTTGCTATTCGTGCTTATTTTAAGCTTGATTGAAGTCTTGAGTGGTAGGTTGGATTTGTATAAGAGGGGAGCAATACCCATGCATTGAGTCATCATGCTCACCTCCGTACATAACACAACACCAACAAGCTCGACTTACACGGCCTAATAAGCAACCACCAATGTTCGGTTTTCATCTCAGCTACCAGTGGCTTCACTATACTCGACCTTCGGGACCTCCATCTCCAGTGCCTGAAGGCCTCGAGCGTCACTGGGTAAACACACCCCAAGGCCGAATCGAAGTCCTCTCCAACACCCCATCAATCGCCGACAAGTTCAATGGCCCTCCTATAGTCTTCTGCCACGGCGGCATGGGCTGCGCGTGGGTATGGACAGAATACATGCAATATCTAGCAGCACGCGGTGTCCAATGCTATGCAGTCTCGCTGCGCGGTCACGGCGAATCATGGCATCCATCGTATTTCCGCATGGTTTTTGCAACGCCTCGAAGTGCCTTGACTTCTGATCTCGTTGCGGCTATAGAGTGGGTGCAGACGAAGGAAGAGAGTGAGGTTATGCTTGTTGGACATTCAAGCGGTGGTGGTTTGAGCCAAGGTGCTCTTAGCGATGGATTGGCTAATGTGAAAGCACTTGCTTTGCTGGGTGCAGTCCCAGGCTTTGGATCGTGAGTCAAGATAAATACCGACCTCGAAGCTCATGTCAGGAAACTAACACAATTACAGTATGGGCGTGTATATGAATTGGTGGAAGATGGACCCATGGTTCACAATACGACTAATTTTCCATCTCTGGCACTCCAACTCACCTCTCTCACACCCAAAGCTCACTCAAAGAGCCTTCTTTGGCGACAAGTTCCCTCTCTCAGCCGTCATCCCGTTCCAACGCCATATGAACCGCTATGAGAGTTACTTGTGGCCTTTCAGCATGATGTACAGCTTCACGTCGCCATCAAACATATTGAGTCATATTCGCAATGACGGCGCGAGCGGCGAAAAGGTGCTCGTCATGGCAGGTACTCAAGATAAGCTCATGACAGGTCCCGTGACGGAGAAGACAGCGAGATTTTACCGTGAGGCTGGAAATGACAAGCGAGATGGTGTAAGATTGCAATTCGTTGAGGGAGCAGGGCATCATTTACAGAACGACGTTCAATGGGAAGATGGTGCAGAGAAGTTGTTTGAGTTTTATAAGGGTATTGCATGAGGGTCTTGTTCAAAATGACCGTGGGTATTGATCATATTCGGTCGGTCAACCGTTTGTTACATATTCTGTTACTTTAGATCGGGACCCTTCCCGTAGAGCGCTCGCAACTCCATCATGATAATTAACATCATTCGATATTCTACGTCCCGAATCAGCGGAAACGCTTACCATATAAAAATATCGGTTCGATATAATCGGTTCAAGATCCCGAGAGATGACCGAATCATCGTCCACCCAATTCAAAAACCTCTCACTCCGGTAGCGGCCTCACATAGCCCGAGCTAACCTGGACACGACAGTGAGAAAGCTCCGTTCGCTGTGCTGAAAGAAGCAAAAAACGGGGACGGAAGACAGGGGATTCCGGGGCTAGAGTCAGAACACTCAGCGCATTTCCCTAGGCGAAGTTCCCTCTTCGTCTTCCCCTGAGGCAATTCGTATAACTCTGAATCAACAACCTCAAATCGCCTTTTTACAGCTTAAAAAACCCTTGGTTGCGTGACGTTTATATCTCGGTGCTTCATAGACCCGAAAAACCCGGCTTCTGTGCCCCGAATCGGAAGCCTACCGACGCTCTCTATCCTCTCGGCCTTCTTCCGTTGCAGGCACATTTGCTTGCGGCACCGCAAAAAAAGAGCACACCCGACCTTTCAGAAGGCCTCAGGCAGTCAACCTGGCGCCCCTTCAGCGGTTGTCGTCCGTGGCAGTGGGGGTAGGCGCATCAGCCAGTCGTAGCCTGTTAAGATCGGCACTTGCAATGGAGGGGAGAAAGGTGCCCCGCGCTCCGGAGCTGTCCGCCGAGAGCCCCTCTTCTTCTTCGGCGGGCTTCAAGACGTATTCGGCCGCTGGAACTGCATCTGCGTCGGCCGATAGGATCTCTCTCGTCTCAGGTCACTTGTCGTCTTCTTCTTATACCGCGGCTTCTCCTGCTCAAGCTTCAGTTCCTTCTCAAGCTCGTCGTCTTTCAACAACCACAACCACCATGTCTTCTCAACCTGAACACGCTACTCTCCTCATCCCCGGACCCATTGAGTTCGATGATGAGGTCCTCAAGTCCATGGGCCACTACAGGTACGATACAATGCGACTTGGATCACGTCCGCGTGATGTGATTGATAATATCTCGTTTGCTGATACTTGTCACACAGTGAGAGCCACGTCGGCCCCGGCTTCGTCAACACCTTCGGCGAGACCCTTACCCTGACCCGCAAGCTGTTCCAATCGACCGACCCCTCCGCCCAGCCCTACGTTATCTCCGGTTCCGGTACCCTGGGATGGGATATTGTTGCTGCCAACCTTGTCGAGGCCGGTGAGAACGCCCTCGTTCTCAGCACTGGATACTTTGGCGATGGCTTCGCCGACTGCCTGCGCGCCTACGGTGCCAACGTCACCAAGCTCGACGGTGAAGTTGGCGGCCGACCTCAGCTCCCCGAGATTGAGAAGGCTCTTTCTGAGAAGAATTACAAGATCCTCACAGTAACTCACGTCGACACATCGACTGGTGTCCTAAGTGAGCTCAAGAACCTTGCCGCTACTGTCCGCCGTGTCTCCCCCGAGACTCTCGTTATCGTCGATGGTGTCTGCAGTGTTGCCTGTGAAGAGATCGCTTTCGATGAGTGGGGTCTGGATGGTGTTGTTACTGCCAGTCAGAAGGCCATTGGTGTTCCCGCTGGTCTCTCCATTTCATTCTTCAGCGGCCGAGCTGTCGCCGCCGCTCTTGAGAACCGCAAGACTCCCATTCCCGCTTACTTCGCCTCCCTGAAGAACTGGACACCCATCATGAAGAACTACGAGGCCAAGAAGCCCTCTTACTTCGCTACTCCTTCTCCTCAGCTCATTCACGCCCTCCACACTGGCCTTACTCAGATCTTCACCAAGCCCCTATCCGAGCGATTCCAGGGCCACATCGAGGTCTCCAACAAGGTCAAGAAGGCTGTTACCGACCTTGGCCTGAAGGTCGTTGCTACTAAGCCTGAGGACCAGGCTCACGCCATGACTGCTATTTACCTGCCCGATGGCATTGGCGCTGCTGATGTTCTGCCCAAGTTGGCCGCCAAGGGTGTTGTCTTTGCTGGTGGTATTCACAAGGCTATTGCTCCCAAGTATATCCGATTCGGCCATATGGGAGTCAGTGCTGTAAGTGTATCTGGATTTGTTCACCCCAGATAACCTGCTAACATAGTTTTGATAGCTTGACCCCAGCCGAAACCACATCGAGAAGGCTCTCAGCGCTCTTAAGGATAGCTTGTTCGAGGTTGGCTACAAGGCTTGAAAGAGAATGGACGAATATCAACATCGCTTGAAGATGGCCAGAAGACGGCACATTGCCAGCTCCTGGCCGTTTATGCAAAAAAAAAAAAAGTTAAATAATGAAACTATGGCTGGCCATGTATGGATATTTGGATACAAATGGAGCCAACTATAGAGGGTTGGCCAGTATTGTCTTTTGTCGATAGAGCGAGCCTTGAAAAAATATGATACATTGATAACCGACGTGTTTAGCCATGGTTCGTTGAGTTTTGTGATCTATCATTTTATGCCTGGTGATGTTGTCTGCTGTCATGAAGGGTGCGATATCTCTCTCGTTTATGCAGAACATCAACGCTACATACACTTCATGACAGCTTAAATATGAACATGCTTGAGGAGACAGTCCTGGATATGTTTGGTTCGTGGTCGTTATCATCAAGCCATGTCAGATTACGATCGTGATTCGGGTAGCCGCATGCGGTAATTTCAGCTCGCAGCTTTTGTACAAGATTGACAAACACGCGCTGTTGTCAAACCCAGAGCGAATCATGAGATCGATCGATTAATTATGCGCCGGGAGGCTGGGGAGTTTCGGTAAGTTCAAGTACCGCTACAAAGATCCCAGCGTCATGGGTCCGACAATCCGTTAGCTGGGTTCGCTTTTGGTATGAGAAATGCGCAGTGACAGCATCAACCGCCGTCACGGATCAAGGTAGAGATACATTGATGTGATAGTGACATGACATGACAGGCAACCCTCCATCAGACTTCCCATTTTCAAGCCCCGCTGCTGACAAAAC